GGGGGGGGGGGGGATCTGTCATTAATCAGGTCATGTGGGAACTGAATAGCATGTGAGAGAAATAAGAGTAAGAAAGAATCTTAATGAGGGAAGAGATTAGGTTGAACCCTTTGAGCAAAAATATCTAGTGTGAGAAGAAAGAACTTTGTTCTCCAAAGGCCTTTTTCAAGGAGCTTCATTAATGCCATGCCAATCACTAATCACTTTTTCAAAATCCCAATTAAACTCTCATTTAAGACAGATTGGATCTGGATTTCCTGAGTCCTTCACCCCTCCCCCCCAAAAAACGAATACTAACCCACTCTCATTAATGGTAAGTTTTATTTGAGTAATTCCTTTTTCAACAGAACCTACATTGGTATTGGTAAATAATAATTTTCCAGCAAACCAAAAGTTCCTACTCATTAGGAAATGGCTGAGAGCAACCCATATGTCTTATCTGAAAACTGGCCCCTATCAATCAGTCAATTATTGTTTCCATGTTCCCTTGAATGTTTACAGATACTTGGGGAGTGGGACACATCCTTTTCTGAATTCAGAGAATTGTACTTGTTCACTCTCCCCCTCCAAACTTGGAAAGTCCCTAATCTTTCATCCAATTACAAGTCAGATTACCTAATGTTTTATTGTTTCCTTTTAATTAATTGGCCTTATTTGATTGTTTTTAATGTATAAAAGTCTTTCTCCCCACCTGAATTTGGGGTCCAGGCCTAAGCTGAAGAGGTCTGGTCCCAGTTTGTTGGACAACTGGTATACATTACTAAATAAACCAATATGCTCAGAAGATCAGAGTGGGGTAAGGGGAGAAAGGAAATGGCTGAGGATCCTTGTTACATGTGATACCGTGCATTTGTCCTCTTGCACAATGAAGTCTGCCACTTCTAATATATTTGGAAGCAAGTATATTATGTATATTATCTATGTATATTATCATGGATATCATGGATATGTATATCATGGATAATATCCATGTATTCCTCTTCAAAGTCTCAACAATGAATAATATCAATTTTGCATTAATACTAATACATTTCATTTGTTAGTGTCTTTGGGGTTATTTTCTTTTACTAGTTAATACTCTTGTTTTAAATACCACCTTTCCTTGAAAAAATGTCCATTTTCCCAATATCTCTTGAACACCTTCAGATGCTCATGTGGAACAGAAGAAATTAAGTTGCCTTCCATATAAACATAGATAACAAAACCCAGGAGTTTACACGAAAGGTCTAAACTGTTTTGTTTTGTTTAATCCTAAATGCTCTTTCAGTATCTTCACTCATATCTTTATTTGTGCCCAGTAAACAAACAAATTAACAGAGGGGAAAAAAAGTTTTATAACAGCAGTGAAAAAAGAGCCTCAAATAAGTTAAATTAAAAATACACATTCTATTTTCTGCACTCAATTTAGCAATTAAAAGTAATGTCACTGGACTCATTCCATCTTTACCTTTTACTCCTAGGGGAATAACAGTCACCCAATCAGGTCCACTGGAGCGAATTGGCATTTTGATATTGATGTCACTTGAAGAGAAAGAGAAATAATTAAGAGCTGAGATGGCAAACATTTGTTTTTTCCCAGATGCTTATCTTCAATTGTAAAGGCATGGATATGAATTCACAGAATTTAATTTGCTTACAAATAAACTTACAAACGAAATATTAAAAGATAGTTCCAAGTAATACATTGTTCTCAATAATCAGTTAGTTTTTAGGATGCATTTAAAAAATAATTTGCCCACAATCGGATAAGAAGAAAGCACTTTGCACACCTGGGATTTGAACTCAAGATTAAAACCCATTTGTTTCCAACAATAACTATTATGATAATGATCAAGTTACTTTAATGTAGCATTCTGGGTTTTCCATGTGCTTCCCCACCACACAGTGCATCAGGCAAAGCAATCTTTTAAAAAATATTAAATCCAATTTTCAAACTGTAAAAATGTTTTTTTTTATTTAAATGGAGAGCTACAATTGAAAGGATAATAGCTTTGGAATCAAAGCACCTGGCTTCAAATTCCATCTCCATGATTCAATATCTGTGATTTTAGCCAAGTCTCAAGCTCTCTGGGCCTCCGTTTCTAATCTGCAAAATGAGAAGGAATAGGGAACTAGAATATGACCTCTAAGTTCTCATCTAGTTCCCAATCCACAATCCTATGAGTAGCGCTCTTCCTATTAACTTTACAGCAGCAAAGAATGAGACACAATATATTTCAGAAGTTAGCAGGAATTTGTTTTGCATATGTGTTTCAAGGTCTGGTTTTCCTTTTTTTTTTTTTCAGTAGGGGTGACGTGGAAGGGAGAGAAAATTAATGCCTGATGACTGGGGCAAAAAAGAAAATGTAATTTAAAAAAGAAACTGACAGGAGCAAAATCCAACTCTAATTTTTTTTTAAGTAAGTGTAATTTTATTTTAGTGACTAGCTTTCTCCAACTCCCACCAAAGTCAATCTTCCTTCTCCCTTCCCACCATTAAACAATGAAGGGATAATGAAGGAATATTGACCTTTCTCTTAGCAAAAATCAATATTGATATGCTCTGCAGATATTATTTTCATATGTACCAATATCAAATCAGGAGGTATATACAGTGACAAAAAGAGATCAAATGGATTTACCAGGATCCACTTAATTATCATGAAAATAGATAATATACATATATATCTATATAGATATGCACATATATGCATACATGTGTATATATGTGTGTGTGTATGTATATAGTAATACTATAAATCTGCAAGCACCACATTGCTTACCTTTTATTTTGAGCTATGTATGGTAAGATTCACGGAAAACATAAGCATAGCAGGAAAACTATTATTGTTATTACTAATAATTTACAATATTAGCACAATAATATAGTAATAATCATTACTAAAATCCAAAGATGGAAAGGGTAGATTTATAAAGAACTGGCCCAAATCAGAAGTGACTGCTCTGATTTATACCACATACCTTTGGAAGAAAGCACCCTCTGCAGTGGTTAGAAGACCCTTGAGGTATCCTCCTTTGTAATGGTTGATTCTGCTGCTACAAGGGAGCTTTTTCGGTTGGAAACAAAACCATGGCTCCCCGGTGTAGAGATCTGTGAAGTTACACACAGGAAGGTTTCCTGGTAGACATACATTGCATATGGTGGTCTCTGAAATCCTCCCTGACCGAAAAAGACTTTTAAAATAGACCCTATCTGGCCTCACCTCCTGTAGATGCTGAAGGACCTGGACTGCTTCACTGGGATGAACCAGAACTACAGACACGGTCACCTTGCCTGGCCAAAGCAAAGTAAAAAAAACTTTGTAGAATCCATTTTGGTAGTCTACAACTCTTCCCACTGCACCAGCTTGCAGTTTGGGTGAGTGGATTCTGGCCTGTAAATAGTCTCCACCATACTTTTTGGGCCTCCCTTGGAAATCCTGTACTTGAACCAGCACCTCAAGCTGGCTCCCCACCTTGAAGAAAGCTCCAGAGTTCAATATCACAAAATAGCTAGAGGAGGGGTCAGTGCTCTTCACAAATGGGACCAAATCCGTATAAGGCTCATGGCTCTGCAAGGCTGCCAACAAAGAGTCCTCTTCCAAACGCTCTCTCTTAGACAAGGTTTGATGTTCATAACCACAGTAGGGCTTTCGGCCAACTCCTGTTGCTTGAGGGAAAATATCCTGCCCGCTACTATCAATGACGGTAGCTAAAACACTTTCATGATCCAAGTGCTGAAGAGAAAAACACAAAGAAACAAAACAAAACAAAAAAATTTCCTTATGTGCAGTCAAGTAAACCTCTAACATTGTTGAGGCTAAATTTTAAAATACTATTAATAAATTTTTGGAAAAAAACTATTGTGTTTGAAAAGAGGATTGGTGGCTTAAATAAACGGTGTCCCCTGAGTTACGATGTTTATCCCCCCAGTTTTATGGGGATATCTAATATATTACTATTTATTCAAGATGGGAGAGAAGAAATGGAATGTCTGCTACCACCCTTATATTGGAATCTGTAGAATAAGAGAATGTTGAAACTGAGGTTAAATGACTTGTTCAAAGTCATAGGTAATAAATGATAGAAATGGTATTTAACTGAGGTCATCTCACATTTTCAATTGTGATCTATGATTTGATGTTTTACAGATGCATAGTTTAATTTTTAGCTACTTGGGAATTACCTATCTCATAAAGGAAATGTGAAGTGAAGCTTGTTTTGATCAAATGCAAACCAGCAGGAACCGTGGTTCTTTTTTTCCTGGCCTACTTTTCTTGTGAAAGGCTATCTCGGGGCAGGTAGGTGGCGCAGTGGATAGAGTACCAGCCCTAAAGTCAGGAGGACCTGAGTTCACATCTGACCTCAGACCAAACACTTAACACTTACTAGTTGTGTGACCCTGGGCAAGTCACTTAACCCCAATTGCCTAAAAAAAAAAAAAAAAGAAAGGCTATCTCTGCTCTAATTACAACTTTCCACACCATAAACTTCCATGTCCCTTGACTGACAGCAGAGAGCCATCCCCACTATTTCCTAGCTCCCTGTCTGTGACATCAAAGGTAAATGATTAGTTCATCATAGCCCAGGTCAGACATACTTGACCTGTTACACAGCTAGTTAGTGTGACAGAACCCCAGCTAATACCAAGCTCTTTACATTCCAATGTGAGTATTATCATCATTAATAATCTGTCATAAATACATTTAGAAGCTAAGTGAATATAATCAAAAGAGAAACAGCATGAATAGGGCATTGGACTTGGAGTCAAACACACCTGGATTCAAAACCTACCTCACATACTTAGTAGCTATGTGACCTTGGACAAGTTACTTAACTTTTCTCTGCCTCAGTTTCCTCATTGTATAACGAGGGAGTGAGATTCAATGACTTCTAAGTTACATTTTAATTGTAAAATCTATACTTCCATAGTCCAATTTCCCAGGAATCGCTATTATCTGATTTTGTGGAAAGCATTAGCTATCTTTCTTAGAAATTCTCTTTTTACAGTACAGTTTTTCAAGGTATTTTAAATCTTGTATTCAATTTTGTCACTCATTAATTTAACAGATATGTTTTGATAATTCATGATGAATGTACTTTGGACATAATAAATCATTCTCTGGATTTCAAAAAGGCATCAAGCACACTAGTAAACACCATCATGCCCCAGACAGGAATGAGAATGTGATAATTCACTGAAAGTCCACATTTCTCTCTTCTGCTGCCAATGAATGTACTTTCCCCCAAAGCCAGGAATTTCTCAAGGTGTGAGGCCACTTGGTCAAACCCCCTGCTACCGAACAGCTCCCAAATTGCATGAAGCAATGGTAATCTCAGATTGCAGCAAGGATTTTCAGCAATTGAGTTATTATACAATGATTTCTCTTATTTTGGGCATGTATACAGTTAGTTCATTTAAATAAATCAATTGACAAATATTTATTAAATACCTATTATGTACCTAGCACTGTTTAGGTGCTGAGAACATAAAGACAATGAGTTCCTAATAGCATCGCATTCTAATGGGGATGATAAGAGCAAATACAAATGCATACAGATTAAATATAATGAGAATAAAAAAATGAATACAAAGTAGTTAAATACAAGTTAGCTTGAGAAGGAAGGAAACTAGCAGTTGAAAGGATCTGCAAGTTTTCAAGTAGAAAGCAGAGCTTGAGCTGTGTCTGTAAGGAAGACGATTCTCTGATATAGAGGTCAAGAAAGAGGATAGATAGTCCATGTGTGACAGAGAAAGGCAAGCTGGAGCAGGGTAATGCTTTAATGGAGTAGGTAACATTATTATTTCAATTAAAAGTAACTCAAAAGGAAAAATGGAATTGAGTCTAAGGAACTTTTTCCATTGGCTTTTGCTCCTATTTTTTTAAGTCAGGTATGGAACTTTTGGAAAGGATCTCAGTTTTCACCTCACTTTTAGATGTTCTAAGGCCCACCATTCTCTAGGGTTTACAGCTTGAATTAGAATCATGCCGTCTAGAAGGCCATCAAAGGCTTTGCAAAACTTGAAGTATACTATTATTTATATGACAGAGCAAATTTAGCAATCTGACAGAAGCTGGGACGCATCACAGAAACTGAAGAAGAGAGGAAAAGGACAAGAAGAGTAGGTAGGTATGGAGTTCAGGAGGAGGGCAAAATGCAATGGAGCACAGTATCAATCACAGATTTAGAACTGGATGGGAGCTCAGAGGTCATTAAGTCCAACCCCCTCATTTTACAGATAAGGAAACTAAGGCCTAGATAAATTGAGTGACTTGTCCAGGGTTTGATCCAGACGTTCCTGATGCCAAGTCTAATGTTCTAACCACTGTAACAAATGTAACACTGTAACATGCTGGCCAGAAGGTGGAGGAGAGACAAGCCAGGGTGGAATTAAGTTTTCCTAGTTACCAGACAAATTAAAATAATTCCTGCTACTGTGTTAGCCAGCGAATATGATACGAACCCAGATAAAGCGAAACTATAACCCAGCATAACAACAATTCTTCTTAAGACTGACACTTAAAGGGTTTCAGATAACCCAGGAAACAGCTTTGCTCATATGATTCAACACACCATAAAAGCAACCACCTATACTACGGCCAGCCCTAAAAGCAGGCCAACTCCCATTACACCTGGTCAATAGATGGCATAGTGGATGAAGCGCTGGACTTGGTAGTCAGAAAGACCTGAGTTCAAATTTTACTTCAGATGCTTACTAGCTATGTGATCCTGGTTAAATCATTTAAAACTTCTAAGTCTCAGTTTTCTCAACTATAAAAGCTAGCACCAATCTCACAGGGTGGCTGTAAGGATAGTGCTATATAAATATTAGCTATCATAATTATTATTATTATTATTATTATTATGCAGAGATCATGGGATGCCAGATTCACCACCTCCTCCTATAATAAAAGGTGGAAAAAACATAGCCTGTTGACCTAACCACTCATAGCTACCCAGCTATCTAAGTCCTGGAAAAATTTAAATTCAGGTATAAGATCACAGACACCAAATAAATGCCCTATTCTCCAACAGGGAGAGCCCAAATTAAGGACACTATAAAGGTTTTCTTCTTTTTCGGTCAGGCTTTGAACTCCCCTGGGAGTTCAAAGACCAAATAACCAAAATAGAACTAGTAGGTAGTTAAGGCCAAAAAAAGGAACACCAGTACCTCAAGTAACTGGAGGCAGTCTCCTACAGTTAAAGGAAAAAATACCACCTGGTAGCCCATAGTGAAAAGGAGGTAAGTGTATTCTTTCAGGGGGAAGAAAGTACTGCAAGGATTGTATATTGCAATAAAATAATATTTCTTAGATGCCCTAGGAGAGAAATCTCATTCATAGTTTAAAAAAAGTTTGTGTGTGTATGTGTGCGTGTGTCTGTTTTTTTGGGGGAGAGTGAAATGAGGGAAGGAAATTGGGATACTTTGTACCTAATTTGTTGAGAAATTTAAAAGTTTTCTTGCAATAGCTTCCTTCCTGTCCAGAGAAATTATATGTAATCTTCAGGCCTGGAGTTAGGAAGACTTGGGTTCCCATCCTCCCATTCTGAGTCTAATTAACTTTGTGACCCAGAATGTAAATTATACTCTGCATTGTTCTAAAAACGAACCTCCTAACAAACAGAAATGTCTAAAACTGGAATGGATTGTCTCAGGAGAGAAGTAACCCCATCATAGGATGTGTTCAAGCAGAAACAAAATGATCATATGTCAGACACATTGGGAAATGGACTTGTGATTTCGCTGTGTATCAGACCAAATGAGCTCTGAGTCTCCTCCACCCCTGATAGTCTATAATTCTTTTAATGGAATTCTATGATTTTTGTTTTCCTAGGTCATGTTGGCTTACAGAACCCACTTGGACAAAGTCCCTTTACGGAATCTCACTTGCTAAGGATGGAAAATAGGGAAGATAGATGGGTAAAAGGTGGTGGGGGGCTATTCTGTTTACCAGTTGCCTTTAAAAATTGAAATTTTAGGAGTTTCCAATACATGACACTTCATATCTTGGCCAAGCTAACCTTATTCTAAAAGTAAAAATGCTCTACGACAGTCTTACGAAAAGCCCTCTCTATCTACTTTTCTATTCATTTTTATCATATCAGATTTTTCTGACAGGATTAATTAAAAAAAAACTTATCATCCCTCCCCCCCCAACCATCCAATGCTCAATTCAATTGTTTTTAGGATGATTACAGATTTTATTTAATGTACATTCCAGAGGCTTACCAAATACTGTCATTAGGATTAACAAAACATTTCCATGTTCCTTTCCAGCTTTAAAAAAAAAAAATGTGAATTTAACAAAAAAAAAAAAAAAAAAAGAATGATACAGCACATCTGTTTCTCTGGACATTTCCAAAACAGTCTGACAGCACTGTAGTAAATGATCCTTCAAGCAAGCTAGCTTTTCTTATGGAATTCCCTTAGCTACAGGCCATCTGAATCTACTGATGAGGACATCTGTTCAGTAGCATCCGCTTTATTCCTCTAAGGAAAATTTTGCAGAGGCTTTCTCATCACCTTCCCTCTCCTCACTCTAGTCAGTCCTTTCATTCTCCCCAGAAACACTCTAGCCCTAAGGTTAGGTTCTTAAGCTTTCTTAGGGTTCTCAACCTATTTTGTGTTATAGACTCTTTTGGCTGTCTGGCAAAGCCTAAGGATCCTATCTCAGAATAGTATTTTTAAATGAATAAAATAAAATAATAAGATCATGAAGGAAATCAATTATAT